TTTCTGACTTCTTTCCCATCCCCGAACACCCCCCACCCACCTCTACCAACCTCTTGTTCTTTGAGGTCAAATTCTTCCCCAGAGTTTACAAATTCAGAAGACAGAAAAAGAAGGTTTTCTTCCATTTTGATTGAGGATGAAAATAAATCAATTGTTATTTTATTACCCAAAATCAGATTCAGAAATGAACTGGTCCTGAGCTGGATTTGACTGCTAAGGACAAATGTGAATTGTTTCTGAGGTGTTTCTGGAAATTCGTGGATAGTGGCCAGGAGCCGAACCTGCTGAGCTGTGGTTATTGGCAAGGCGATTCAAAGCAGGAAATTCCTGACATAACTCACCCTCTCCTAAGCTTGCTGGGAGCAGGAGGCTCCAACTGCTCCCTGGGCTCTCTCCTGTTCCCAGATTTCTACCCAGTGGGTCTGCCCATGGCTGCCCTTCCACCTACTGTAAATCACAGCAAATGTTCAAACGTAGTCTTCAAATCTCTTCTAGGCCAGAGCTCAGGGAAGAAGATAAGAAAGACACTAGCCACTCTCTCCATAAGGCCCCATGCGTCTGCACTGTCTACATAATGCAGCCAATGAGCAATTACAATTCTCTCTGCAGAGAACGCTCCATTCTAGAATGTTCCTTCTGGTATCATACCCACCCCCACCTTCCACCTCTCTGACCTCTAAAACACACACACACACACACACACACACAGAGTGTATCAGTCAGGGTACGCCCAACATTTCAGTGCACTGACACCATGATAGTTTCACGTGCACTCGCATTACTATCTGCTGGTCTTCCCAAACTGAGCCATGACTACAGCGGGAGATTTGTCTATTCTCTAAATTTTATTCCTTGCTTTTAGGTCACAGTTCTTGAAAGAACTGGAGCTTTCACATTTTTATGGAACCGGGCATTCTTCTTTACCGTATGAGGAAGACTGTGTGAGCCCCACCACATTGGCAGCATAGCCATTGGTGGGCCTAACCCTCACTCCTCATGACACACTGCTCTGGCCAGCAGAGCTTCCAGGAGCAACTAGATATTCCAGCCTCACACAGACCTAGCAGCTGAATTGCCCAGAGGACTCCTGCACCTGGCAGAGAATACTCTGTGCACATGGTCGTTGCAGGAGGACATTCTGGGTAAAGCCTGACGCAAGCCTGCATGTCACTGATGATGGCAGTCCTAGAGCGCTGGATGACTCCTCAGCATTGGAGCCTGGCACTCTGTAACCAGCTGTGCTTCTGTTGTCATATCAAATTACCTCACATATGGATTTAAAATAGAATCCAGACCAAAAGTGCTGGCCGTGTAGACAAAGGGGGCTGATTCAGTAGACGCTAACTCTGGGTACCATGCCAGAAGAGAAGGCTGGAAGCTGGCACAGGCATTCTCACTGTTCAAAACCTGTGGCTCAGTTCTTCATCCATCTGCTCATTCATTAAAACACTTGCCCTACAGACTGAATGGGTCTATTCCTCTTGCCCATCATCCTTCTCTTGGCCATCCTTCTCTATATCCAGGTGGCTGACTTCTGTGGGCCATATCACCAAGTTCACTTGCATTTTGGCTGCCAGATGAGTTGGGACATTAGGAGGCAAGACGTGGAAACTGAAAGGTGAAATGTAAGAGTCTGGAGAGTGACGGCAATAAACTAGCAAGGTCCAAGGTTGCCCAGCTTCAGAGCCAATCAGCAAACATCCAAGGGAGCTCTGTCGCCTAGAGATCCTTGGAACAATCCATGCAGATTTACAAAATAAGTTCTGTGAGAAAACATGACACCAGAAGCCAGCTGGTATCAGAGGCAGGAGAGCTAACTTCTTGAGATCCAGCCACAGGCTGGGCCAGCTCATACAAGGTGCCCAAGAACTCCTTGCTAGTATCTCAGAAACTTTCAAGCTGCTTCTTAAACCATTTGATAAATTCAGATCACCCTTGGTGATTTTCACCAAGAGTGATTACACCCTTGGAGTATTTCACCAGCAGACTAGGCTTCTCTCCAGTCCCGGAGACTTGGTTAACCAACACTCCACCGAAGGTTTCCAAAACAAAAAGCTGTGAGGCAGGCTGGAGGAGTGATTCTGCACACAGAGTCGCACAGGCTCAGGCTGAACTCCCAAACAGGATGATCCTGGGCAAATTCCTTGACCCCTCCGAGCCTGCTTCTTCATGTGTATATAGTACCTATACACTGAATGCATAGCCCTAGGTATAATAATTCATTGGTTCCTGATAGCAGTCCTCGGAGAAGAGCTATCAGTCTCCCAGTTCTGGAGAGGGGAGAAATAGAGACAAAGGTGGCTGGGGGAGTGACACCAAGATCTCACAGCTAGTAACTGGCAGAACAACAAGAGCAGGCAGCCTGGCTTCCAGCCCTGATCCACTGGTCACTGGCCACCTCACACCACAGAGGACTTGGTTTGGGTGACTGGCCCTGAAGATAAGATCACACGCCCCGACAGTCCTGTTTCTGCTCGACTGCAGCATGTTTCCCTTAAGGCCGCACTACCATTCTTCTAGGAGTGCTGGCCTTACAAGAGGGTTTTGGCTTTGGGTTCTAATTTCACAAAGAAAAAACAAAGTGTTTATTAATTAGAACCACAAGGTTCTTGGAACTGATACCTGAAACGGTGACGTGTCTGAAGTGGGTGGCACAGCTATGTGCAATCAGACAGCAGACTGTCCTTTGAGCCGCCTTCACTGTGTGGGAAATGTGTTCTCATTTGAACAGGGCGTGACTGGGGCCTTCACTGGCACACTGTCTGTAAGATGACTATACGCTTACGAAGCTTCATAGCAACCTGAGTCTGGATGCCTTGATGTTTAAACTTTAATTTTAAATTTATTAATAATTAATAACACAGTAAAACCACTTCCCACCTACACTGAGGGCTGGAAGGGTTGATTTGTGTGCAGTGTGTGTGTGTGTGTGTGTGTGTGTGTGTAGTTCCCAGAATATTTAGGGATAGGGATAAGAAAACTATGCATGAGCCTTGAAAATACTAATTAATGGAATTGGTCTTTTAATCCTGCCTTTTAGTACTTTTATCAACTATTAAATACTTGATTTAATACTCCCCCAAAAGAAGAAGAAATTGAAGTAAGTGATGAGAGATAAATGTAAGACTTCAGAGATTTTGTATAATGTGTGTATATGTGTGCATGTGTGTGATGCCTTGTTAATGCTGCCTTGACTGTATGTAGAAATGATACTTTGGATGTGGTAAATTAAAGAAGAAGAATTACATTTAACTACACCTGTTCCTTTGCCTTTAAGGACTTTAAGGAGGCTGCTAGAATTTGTATCACATCCGTGACTCATATGTCTGCTCCATACTGACCTCATCACTTGTTGTAAGCATTGACCAGTTAACACAGGGGATGAGTCCAGCACAGAACCTGAAACACACCAAACACCCAAGGGCCACTATTCATATTAGTGACTTCAGTGGTTTTCACTGTATAGCAGGGGCTCTGATGGAAGTAGAGAGGACCTCATGGTGTCCTCTCCATTATCCCACATGTCTTCGGCCACCATCTCCACAGGCTAGAAAGCCATAAAGGTAGATCCTCTGAAGTTCTTCAAGCGTTCCCATTCTCCACTGGATGTCAGAGAAGGTGGAGAAGTGGCACACAGTTAAAGACAGTTAGTATGTCTACAACAGCACTTTCATGGCTGAGAAATATACATACATACATGATTGAGCACATACATGATTTAGAAGCAAGTGTGCATAAGATCGATGTCAGGTGTCTTCCTTAATTACTCTCCACCTTCTTTTTGAGACACCAAACCTGGAGCTTACAAGTTCAGGCAGACTGGCTAGTCAGTGGACCCCAGGGATCCTCTCCCGCTGCTGTGCCTGCGTCTTTCACGAGTCCTGGGGACCAAACCCAGGTCCTCATGCTTACATAGCAAGCACTTTATCAGCTGGGCCCTCTCCCGATACTTTTAAAATGATGATATATTTCCATTTTGAAGATGTAAAAAGATTTGGCTCCTGATCTGGGCACAGTACAGTGAGGTTCCGTGGCCCCGCAGGTCATGTGGCAAACTTGGTCCTTGGTGTTGCAAGGTTAAAAAGTAATAGAACCTCCAAGATAGGGAGTGAGAGACCTGGTGAAAGTAAGTCACTGGGACATTGTCCTTGGAAGGCATTAATGTAGTTCTCCGGGACCCCCTGGTTGGTTACCTGAAAGGGTTTTGCAAATAGAGAAAGCCTAGCCCCTGAAGGCTTCCTGGATCACGATGAAATCTCTTCCACACAAACTTCCCCATTAGGATGTCTTCTGCCATCAGATCCAACCAGAACTGTATGGAAGCTAGTGTCATGTTCTTGGCCCTCCCGAAGAATGAGCTAAATAGACTTCTTTTCTTTACAAATTATCTAGCCTTAGGTATTTTGCTATAGCAATGGAAAGCACCTCATAAAAGTGTCATGGATGTGAACCGGAGCTCATCCCTAGCCTCCTGAGTTATCATCTACATAGATTCACAAGGTCATACCTATTTTCCATGCCACCTGTCCATTTGTGCCCCTCACGACCTGCTAACTCCCCACCTACCCAGAACCTAGGAACAGCACCAGACCCCAAGAATCCACAAGTCTAGCTCCAGGGAAGGGTACAGAGGCACTCCACCCCAGAACTCCAATGACTATGCTGTCCTACAGGAAACTCTGAGCTCCACACCAGCCCCACTGTCTGCCAGGCAACCTCCCAGCTCTTTCTCCAGCCCTCGGTCCTGGCTCTGAAGTAGTATGTGTGGACAGGGAAAACAGCCAGCTTCTCGCCAGGCTCTCTAACAAGTTCCGCGGGTCTGTTTGTTAAAGAAAAATTCCAGTGGGTGCATCCAACACATGGAGCTCAAGTACAGAAATTATATTTATCCAGCCCACTGCCAAAGAGATCACATGCCCTGTGAGTCACTCCAGATGTGCTCAAAAACAGAGCCTCTGTGTGGAAGCCCAGTCCCCCAATCCCAGAGAGAGTTAGGTTAAGAGAGGTACCAACTTCTGTCCCACCCAAGAGGCAGCATCCACCTCCACCCTGTGGAGCCAGGGAGAGGCCCTCGCTGCTTCTCTAGACAAGAAAAGGCAGTGAGAACTCTATCATCCCACAGAGAAGGACACGGGGCCCACCTGCAGCTCCTGGGGTCCCAGGGGGATAGAAGGTCAATTTTTCGCCCTTCTGGAAGATGCCCTGGAAGGCCCTGATGATCCTGCTGCTGTTCTCCAGCACCCAGGCCACAATTCCCCGCAGGTGGAGCAGGGGTGAGTCGTTTTGATTCTTGTGTTCCTCTGGTGCTCATTCATCTTTCTTGAATAGAATTGTGGATGTGCAGTGGAGTTAGAGGGAGGAAGGAATTAAAAGCCCTGCTTCATAAGCCAACTTTGCTAGCGCTTTGCGCTTCCTGGCATGCTCCCTCTTGGTAAAAGGTGATGGAAAATGACACTGGAAAAACATCAAAGCCGCTGATTTGGGAGCCTGATGGAGGCTGAGAATCCATAGGGTTGATCCTGCTGGTGAGCCAGAAAGAACTCTTGACCATTTCAGAGGATTGGGACAGGTTCTCTCCAGATCCCTGCTGGCTGCTACTGCTAGGACAGACCTCTGAGAGGAGTGCCAAATTCTGCTGCCTGTGTGATGGAATGGTGACCACAGGGAATGCAGGAGGCTGCTACCTGCGGGACTAAAGCAGAGAGCTCTTGGCCACATTGGCCAAGAATGAGCTCTCCAGGCTACTGTAGATGCACTTTTGCAGCCAGGTAGGGAGAGCTGTGTGGTGGCAGGTAAGGAGAAAAGAGCCATTGGGGACATTCAACCAGCGTGCTTGAGCCCTGACACTTCCACTATGCCACCATGGAAAAAAGGAGTATACACAAAAGGTTTTCTCTCATGCTGACATCTTCTCGGCATGTCACTTCTCAGAACAGGGGTGGTATCTTTGTTCTGGGTCTGGCTGTGCTTGGCAGGCCCTGGGAATATATCAAGCCAGCTAGTTATCACTATCGGGAAATGAAGAGCCGAGAGTGCTCCCTACCCCGTGCCAGTCTGAAGAGAAATCTTTCCACTGCCTAAATTCATCTGAGTTCATGTTCCCAGAAAGACCTGGAAAAACAGCATTCCCTCAAGGCAATCCAGAAGCTCTTTATAGAGACCGATAATGGGCTGAGGATTGGCCTGGTGACGTGGAAGTACCCTTCCTTCTCAGAGACAATGTGGGGGAGGGAAAGAGTGGCCTGAGCAGCAGAGAAGAAGCATCTGCAATGGAAGAGAGGGGGTGAAGGCACTTATCATTTATTTCGTCCTCTTTGGGCTTAAACATGCTGTTAGGGACTGGCCAGGCCTCCGAATAGAGCCAGGACATAAGTGTTGCTGAGATGGGAATGACAGACTTTTCTCTCACACAGACACCGACATGGACACACACACACAGACAAACAGACACATACACACCCACACCTGCCTGCTCATCACCTGCATAGTCTTAATTTAAGGGAGCACTTGGGGGTGGAAAGCAGAAAGATTTTAGAATGGGATTCTGTCACTTGTTCTTGTCACAGTGGAACACAACTTAATTTGCCGAAGGACGCAAAGGTATCTGCTCGTTTTAAGTCAGTGGCTGTCAGGAAGCCAGGAGACGACTGGATATGTGACAAGGCTCATAAACACTCCTGCAAGGACTCAGAGATTTCAGTTCTTCCTCTAACGAGCCAGCTTCGTGATCTCTGGCAGGCTCCTAATTTCTCAGGGTGTTGTTAGCAGAAAGCATTTTGATAACCACAAAACTTGCCCTCACAGGGTTGATTTGAGTGTCAGATTCAAAACTACACTTTAAAAATGATGAAACACTATATAAATGTTAGTGGCTACTTATCACTAAAAAGACAGTATTCATCAATGAAAAGCTGAGGCTCTTAGCATGTAGTTGGGTTTTATTTTTCCTTCGTCTTAAACATTTTTTTCTAATTACAAAAGGACACAATTCTTGTCACTTTTAGATTGGCTCAGTTGATAGAATGCTTCCCATGCAAGCTCAAGGACCTGAGTTACCCCAGGTTCCATGTGAAAAAGATGGGTATGAGCAAAGCCGACAACCCTGGGCCCAGGTGGTCCTGCAGAGACTGGTTAATCAACCAAGGACCATGCATGGAGAGAGCCTAGACCCTGCTCAGATGTAGCCCATCTCAGTCTCCTTGTGGGTTCCCTAGTAAGGAGAGCAGGGGCTGTCTCTGACATGAACTCAGTTGCCAGCTCTTTGATCAACCCCCCTCCCGCAAGGTGGCCTAACAAGGCCACAGAGGAAGAGGATCTAGACACTCCTGCCGAGACCTGATAGGCTAGGGTCAGATAGTAGGGAAGGAGGACCTCCCCTATCAGTGGACTAAGGGAGGGATATGGGAGGACGGGCCAGGAGGAGGTGAAGGAGGGGGCTACAGCCGGGATATGAAGTGAATAAATTGTAATAAATAATAACAATAAAGAAAACAATTTAAATTGTAAAACAGAATTTAATTAGTGAACACTTTTCAAATGCAGAGGCCAGTCTATAGCCAGAACTTAGCAAGAATTAGCTGCTATTAAAATGATTTGCTCAAAAAATAAAATAAAATAAAATAAAATAAAATAAAATAAAATAAAATAAAATAAAATAAAAGTGGGTATGGCAGCCTGTGTTTGTAATCGTAGCGCTGCTGAGGCTGACGCAGAAGGACCCCAGCGCTCACTGGCCCCCAGCCTAGCCCTGAGGGCAGCATTCTCAAGGCTGCCCTCTGCTGCACAGGCATGCACACATGCACACACTGGTACGTGTAAATACACACACACACACTAAAAAGATTACTCTTTCCCACAGTGTTCTCCCTTACTCCAGCCCTGAAGGGCCACCTTACTTTCAATGGATTCCTTTACAAAGTTTGAGGGGAGCCCCGCTTATGAGACTGGCTTCTTCCACTCTGACCCTCCCTCCCAACTGTACCCCCCACACACACACGCACATGTCGTCTATATGGAAAGAAACCCAGAAGGAGTTCACCCACTGCCTGGCAGCCTTCTTCCCCTCCCCCTGCCTCTCCCTCAGAATGCTCTCTAGGATTCCTCCCAGGGTGGAGACTCCACAGCAAGATCCAGGACTGCCCAGCCCTGCCTACCAGCAGGATGGAGTCTCGATGACTCACCTGTGGTTGCTGTGGTTAACAGGGCCAACCCGAGGACGCCGGCCCATACACACACAGCCCGTGTCCTAGCATGCCCCATGTCTTGTCAGAGCGATGCTTGAGGGGAGAGGTCTTGCCTGACTCTAAAAAGCTAAACAGTGCATACATAATAAACAATAACCCTATGTTGCTATTAAGTGCTTATAACTATGTCTGTTTTTTACATTTATTTGTATGTATATATATATATATATAAATCCATGTGCCTGTGTATGAACACGTGTGTCCACACTTGAGGTCAGAGGGCAGCTTCTAGGCGTCAGTTCTCTCCTCCCAAGTCAGGCTTGGTGGCAAGCACCTCACTGCTGAGGCCTCACACCACCTCCTAAAGTATTTATTTATGAAGCAGTTTAGTAAAGAAGACAGCCCTGAGGATTAGTGGGTTCTCACTTTCTGTTGTGTCTGAGTTGTGTTTGTCCTTGCTCTTGGGCGCTCTGCCGGGAAAGAGTAATGGCTGGCAAGAGTTGATGCTGATCTCTGCACCTTTGCTGAGCACCCCCTGCAGGTAACCACTCACGGGTGAGGAACGTAGAGGGGGAGGACAAGAAGGGGCAAACCCCACATCACCCTGTGAGAAGGCTTGGTAGATCTGGTCCCATGTCCATCTGAGATGAGCCCCGCTTCCCCGCTCTTCTCCTTGCCGTTGCTCCATGCCCCTGTGTGGAGCTCTCTAGTCAAGGCAGCTCCTCTGCAACGCTGCCTCGTAGGAACCCGGTACAGACCCTGGGATTGTGGCTTTCCCCGAACAGCACTAACTTTCCGAAAGGCTGGTCCATGAGCCAAAAAGTGAGTGACATCAGAATCTGGCAGATCTTTCATAAGCAAGAACATTTCCCTTCCACACCCAGAGCTGCCTCAAGGATTCATTCACAGCACTGCTGTACTTTGGCTCAGTGTGGTCTGCGGCCTTCATCCTTTCCAGCAAGCTCTCGGGTGCAGTGTTGTACATGGCTGACTGGACTCTACCGGAGGGCTCTATACAGAGCAGTGGGAACAGGAAGACAAAAGGCAGTTTTGAACCAGGATCATGAAAAGTCAAAGGTCAGACTCCACCATGAGCTAGCTTCCTCCTCAGGTACCTTCTGGCTGCACTCGAGGCCAGAGTCCGCAGAGGATAAAGCTTGAGGAGATAGCAACTGCCCTGCTAAGATAAATGAGCAGCATTATCTTAGCTGAGCTGGAGCAAGGACTCCTTACAGATAAAGAAAGGGGGTGGCACAGACCAAAGTCAGCACTTCTTCATAGCCAGGACCAAACCGGGAACTTCAAATGATGATAGAGTCCCTCTCTTGCAAAGACGAGGATTTGGTAAAGCACTGAGAAGAACCAAGCTCAGTGACAGAGTAGGTAGTGTGTATCCATAGTATCATTTGTCCAGTCAACAAACAGTACCAGGAACAGCCGATACTAGGAATACAGTGATGAACACTACAGACAGGTGCCAATCCCACAAAGAGCTGAGAGAGAGGGACAAAGACAAGCACACGAATAAGGAAAATGTGCAATTTGTTGGATGGCAATAAAGTAAGGGCAGAGGCTAGAGTGTATAAAGGCTTATCATCCTAAATATGGTAGTCACAGAAGGCCCCATTGGGGGAAAGTCACAAAAGACCTGAGAGGTGAGGGAGGGAGTCTTGCAGTCACTACAAACTTGGGGGCAGATATTTCAGGGAGAAGAAACAGATAGGCCTTGAGACAAAAGCTTGCTGGGTGTGCTTAGGAAACAGTGAGATTGTCTGTGGCTGGGGCCCTGTGAGCCAGGGAGAAGGGGGATACGTGCAGAGCTGGTGGGGACTCTGATCTTGGAGCACCTGCTACATGTGAAGGCTTTTTTTCCCCTTGTCCTCGGGGAGGGGGGGTAGAATAGAACCAGGGAAGGAGTCAGGGGTGGGAATAGAGACACCATTAGGAGTGGTGGTCAGGGTTAAAAGACTGGGAGGCTGTCGGGGTATGGCAAGACATAGGTAGGTTCCTAATGAGTGTGGAAAGGGCCATCACCAGAATCTAATGTTTAGTTGGATACAGGAGGTCAAAGAAAGGGAAAGCCATAGCTG